GCAGTGGTATGGGATGCTTGCAAGGCAGTACTGAGAGGGAAACTGATTGCTAAATCAGTTCACTTAAAAAGATTAAACAAGCCTCACTCCAAAAATTACAAGAGGACTTAGAAAAATTGGAAAGAGTTCACAAGAACAATGGTGACAAAAGAATTATGAATGATATTAAAACAAAAAGAGCAGAAATAAATAATATATTATCACAAACAAGAAATCCAGAAAAAAAAGATTTATACCAAGCAGCGATATTATGAGGCTGGTAGTAAATCTGCAAAACTTCTGGCCTACAAACTTAAAAAACAACAGGCAACGAGACATGTTTACAAGATAAAAAACCCACAAACAAATCAAACGGTATACAAAACCAGTGAAATTCATAGGTGCTTTGAAGACTACTACAGCCAACTATATGCACAGACAAAAATTGAAAATGAGCGAATTGACAGTTTTCTAGAGGAGTTAAATCTACCACAAATTACAGAAGAGCAAAACAAGAAATTATTGGCAGAAATTACAGTAGAAGAAATAAATTCTGCAATTTCAAGGCTAAAAAATGGTAAGAGTCCGGGGGGTGATGGTTATTGCTCAGAATGGTATAAAATTTACAGGAAAAAAATTACTCCACTATTACATAAAACATTTAATTGGATTCTTAAGGGAGGAAAAATTGCAGAATCTTGGAGGGAAGCTATAATCTCAGTAATTGCAAAAGAGGGTAAAGATGTGACTAATTGCTCAAACTATAGGCCAATAAGTGTGCTTAATGTGGATTATAGGCTCTTCACTGCAATACTGGCCAGGAGAATGGAGAATATCTTGACAAAAATTATTAGTTTAGATCAAACAGGTTTTATAAAACATAGACAAACACATGACAATATTCGCAGAACGCTACATATTATGCGGCATATTAAAGATGAAAATAAGGAGGCAGCAATCTTGGGAATGGATGCAGAAAAGGCATTCGACTCTGTTAGATGGGAGTTCTTGTTCAGGGTTATGAAGAAGTTTAATTTTCATGAGGGAATTATCAGAACTATACAGTCTCTGTACACAAATCCTATTGCAAGGGTAAAGGTCAACGGTAGCTTGTCTAAGGTAATTCAATTAGAAAGGGGGTGTCGTCAGGGATGTTCTGTCAGCCCACTCTTATTTTCTGTGTTTTTGGAGCCACTCAGCCAATGGGTAAAACAGCTCAATAGTATGAATGGAGTTGTCGTGTCAGGAGTGGAGCATAAAATAGCCCTGTTTGCAGACGATGTACTGTTCTATTTGGAGAAACTAAACTTATCATTACCAAACTTGATGCATTGTTTGACAGAATTTGGTAAACTGGCAGGCTATAAAAATTAATGTTCAAAAAACCCAAATAATTGCTTTTTAATTACGAGCCAAGTTTAGCTATAAAACAAAATTACTTGCTGAAATGGGACCAGCAGTCAATGAAGTATTTAGGTATAACATTAACGAAAGATTTGGACAACTTGAAAATGGCAAATTATAATTCTGTAATATCTAATATAAAAACAGATTTAGCTAAATGGAATTTAATTCCTTATCTAAGTCTTGCATCTAGAGTGGAAATAATTAAGATGAATATTCTGCCTCGACTATTATATATTTTTTCAAAATCTCCCTGTTGAGGTGACGGATAAAGACTTCAAAGAATGGGACAAATTAATTTCTAGATACATATGGCAAGGAGCAAGACCACGTACAAAATTTAGAACTTTACAATTGGCAAAAAATAAGGGTGGTCTGGCGCTTCCATGTTTAAAAAGTTACTATCAAGCTGCTCAGTTAAAGGTGTTGCTGAGTTTGTGCGATCCAGATTATGTTGCAAAATGGAAAGACATCGAGGGTAATATGAAACCACCAATACAGGCGTTAATGTTTGATGTTAAATTACAAATATTGAAGAAACAAAAAGGTTAACCCTTGGCTGTGGGTGTCTCTGTCAATCTGGTCCAGTCTCTTGAAGAAGCATAATTTAATAGAGCAATGTAGATTATTTAGATTGATCGCATACGATACTGATTTTGGTCCAAACCAGTTGGATGGCACCTTCAGAGCATGGGAAAATGGTCCAAAAATGCATTGGGAGATAATAAAAAACAAAGAAATGCTAAGTTTTCAACAGATAAGGGACATGTTTAATCTTGGTAAGCAGGATTTTCATGGATACCTACAGCTAAGGCACTATTTAAAGCAAGAACTTAATAAAGTAAACTGGGACCTATTTCAATCAGGGATTCTTAAAATATTTCTGGATGCACTTAAATCAGAGTTAATCAGTAAAATTATATCTAAACTATATACAGCTTTGGAAGCTTTAAAAGGGGACACCACAGAGTATGTGTAAGAAAGATGGGAAAGAGAAGCCAACATTGTAATTTCAGTAGAGGATTGGGAACAAATAAGTTTAAGTCAGTGGACAACCACAAACTCTGTATTTTGGAGGGAATATGGATGGAAGAACATAAGTAGATTTTTTTCTGACCCCTGCATAGAGGAAATATGCAGATACGAAATGTTGGAGATCTTGTGGTACTTCCAAGGCAGATCACTTTCACATTTTTGGGGGATGCCCACTATTGAAATCATATTGGACAGGAGTTAAAATTATTATTGATAAAGTAGTAAATTGTAGTGTTCCCCTAAACTTTGAAGTTTTTTATCTGGGTAAAACTGATATACTGAACTTAACTAGAAGGATTGATTATAATATACTGAAAATTATGCTGTTGGCGAGCAAAAAGGCAATCACCAAAAAAATGGCGGACGGATCAAATACCTAAGGTGGAAGAGTGGGTGGATGTAATGCTCAATATATACAATATGGAGAAAGTGACGGCATCAGTTAGGTTGGAGAAAGACAAATTTGAAAATTTATGGGGGGGATGGTTAAATTATATTAGACAAACACGTTCTGACTTTGTATAGAGTCTGAAAATTAGCAGTCTGTTTTGAAATATGTCTTTGGTGTGATGTAGAGTAATGTATAAAATAACATCTTAAAGCACACCCTGGTTCTATGCTACAATGTTATTTCTACAAAAATCTGTAAATAAATAGTTTTCAGTATCACTGTCGTGTTACATAGGCATCACAGACAACACTGGCCTTCCTTTTACAGCAATGTAATGTGATTGTAACAGCGCATTGTTCTTGACAAAATCCATGTTACTGATATTAGCAAATATCCAAAACAGTTAACAGTATAGAGCACTGTAACAATTAACAGTATAGAGAATTGTAACTATGATTGTCAATGAATTTTCAAACTAAACCTTAGTAAACAATGACCAGTTCGGGCTTGAAGCACATGTAAACTAAATTTAAGTTACAATAAACATAATTTTTAATGCATCAATAATGTAATTCTCTTCTCTCTTTGTCAAAGGAACAGCAGCACTTGTTAAGTCCTTTTTTTAGCCTTATTTAGACGTGGATTAGTCCTGTTATAGACTTGGTTTAGATCTCTCTATTACAGAAATCCAGCAGACAGAGGACAGGAGTTTTAGCCTTATGCACTCACTCATATAAAGTAATGTCAGTAATGGAAAACTCGTATCTCATTGTTGTCGTCCAAACCGAGCTGAATCAGATCAATCAATTCCTTTTACAGCAATGTAATGTGATTGTAACAGCGCATTGTTCTTGACAAAATCCATGTTACTGATATTAGCAAATATCCAAAACAGTTAACAATATAGAGCACTGTAGCCCTGGTTCTATGCTACAATGTTATTTCTGGTTTATTTAATTTACATATATATATATATATATAAAAAAAAAAAGTATGTAGGTAAATGTCAAATGTAGGTAAATGTACCTAGTGTAAGGTGAATGTCTGTAAATGTGGGTATAAGATATGCCTTTATTAGTCCCACAGTGGGGAAATTCCAGTGTTGCAACACACTATTACAGAACAGCAGGAAAAGGTAACACAGATAATAAATAATAGCTTAAAAATAATTTAAAAATAGACTTAAAAAAATAATTGCACATGGTTATGATTTACTGGTACATGTTCAGTGTTGACAGTGTTTATTGTAAAGTCTGACAGCAGCAGGAAGGAAAGACCTGCGAAACCTCTCCTTCACACAGCGAGGGTGAATCAGTCTGTCACTGAAGCTGCTCTCCAGAGCAGACAGAGCGTCCTGCAGGGGGTGAGACTCATGGTCCAGCATAGAGATGACCTTAGTCAGGACCCTCCTGTCCCCCACCTCCTGCACTGAGTCCAGAGGACAGCCCAGGACAGAGCTGGACTTCTTGATGACCTTGTCCAGCTTCTTCCTCTCCCTCTCTGTGATGCTGCTGCTCCAGCAGACCACACCGTACAGGATGGCTGATGCCACCACAGAGTCATAAAAGGTCTTCAGGAGTGGCCCCCCCACTCCAAAAGACCTGAGTCTCCTCAGGAGATAGAGCCTGCTCTGGCCCTTCCTGTACAGTGCATCTGTGTTGTGAGTCCAGTCCAGTTTATTGTTCAGATGAACACCCAGGTACTTATATGAGTCCACTCTCTCAATGTCCCTTCCCTGGATGTTCACTGAGAGGATAGTAGAGTGACGTCTGCGGAAGTCCACCACCATCTCCTTGGTCTTCCCTGCATTGATGATGAGGTGGTTCTGCTGACACCAGTCCACAAAGTCCTGTATTAGTCCTCTGTACTCCACATCATTATCATCCTTGATGAAGCCAATGATGGCAGAGTCATCAGAGAACTTCTGCAGGACGCAGCTGTCCGTGTTGTGTCTGAAGTCTGCAGTGTAGAGGGTGAAAAGAAAGGGCGCGCGAGGACAGTGCCCCCACACTACCAGTCAGGAGGTCAGACACGCAGTTCGTGGATCTCACAAACTGGGGCCGGTTTGTGAGGTAGTCCAAAATCCAGTCTGCCAGGTCACAGTCCACACCAGCAGTCTCCAGCTTGTCCCTCAGGAGCAGTGGCTGGATGGTGTTGAAAGCACTGGAGCACTCACTCATATAAAGTAATGTCAGTAATGGAAAACTCATATCTCATTGTTGTTGTCCAAACCGAGCTGAATCAGACCACCGTTTGTCGCAGGACGATATCGAGTCAATAAAGGTCTGAGCAGCAACATTAAGGGATAAAAAGGTGTAAAAGAAATGAAACAAAGACATAATTGCCAAAATGAGCTTTAAAAGTCCTATATTTCACAAAATTGACCCTTGTGAGCTTTAAACCATATTATGCTGTTAGCTCATCAAAAATATACCTGGAGTTGTGTTGTGTTTTATTCCCACATTTGAGTAATCTGTCTACATTTCCAGGCTCAAAAATGCTCACCTTGAGATGTCATGCAGTGGTATTTTTTTTACAGCTACTTTTTACCTTTAGTTCATTAGAGATTAGCAATTCCAGGTCTGAAATAATCTAAATGGCCCTTGTGAAGGTGTATGGAGTGTAAAAAAAAACAATAGCACAATTCCTATATTACCTCATGACATCACAAGTTGGAACAGTGTTTTTCAGTTTGAGAGAAGAACTACAAGAACCACAAGATTTGTGTGTTAAACATGTGAATGAAACAAAACACAACTCCAGGTCTGTTTGTGATGAAGAAACAACATAATTTAGAGCAAAAAATAGTGTAATATAGGCCCTTAAGTCTCATTCAAATTGTGGACATTAATATTTAGTAAGACAATATTATTTTACTGAAAGGATACATGTTGGTGTCTTTGCGTCGGCTCTCGAGCCACCTCTTGTTACTGTCAATAAAGTCCTGAAGTCTGTGTCCGTCTGCCTCTGTGGTGCTCTGCCTGTAGGGGGCGCTCCAGTTGCTTTGACTAAAACACAAAAACATGAGTCCACTCCAAAAATATATCTAATATATGACACAAGCTATTATAACAGTAACAACACAATAACAGTGTATTACCTGAGAGGAGTGTGAGAAGAGTAGGAGGTGCTACGTTTAGAAACACTTGGCCCCATTGCTGCTCCTAAAATATTCCAACATAATATAGATTTTTTTTTACAATAAGAATTGCTAGCATATAATACAATACAATAGTAATTAAATATTCATGTAGCTTAAATTATTTTAAATGAAACACCACAACAGATCTATCATGAAATATGTGATCCCTGTATCAAAAGGTATAGATGGCAATTGTCTGAGCGAACACAATCTAACTTAATAAAACAAAACATATTATTGTGTACCAGGAAATATCTGCCTCCATCTGCTGTTGATGAGGTCCTCTGAGGTCTTCAGTCCAGTGTTGACAGTGGAGCTGAACATTGGAGGTGGCGGTGCCCAGTTTTCAGACATCTGTGAACGCCTCATGTGGGCTGTGCTGAAGTCCAGCCCGGGCTGAGGTAGAGAGAAGGCGGGGTTTGGTCTTTGATCTAAAGAACCTAGCACTCCCACCGCCGTGTTCAACTGCCCTGAAATCACCTGCAGGGACTCCTGCAGGGACTCCACCAGGTCCTGGACTCTGTGTGGGACTGCAGCCTGATCTGAAAACAAGCATTAGATTAATATAGTTTACTGTTAACATTTGAATCAATCTATATAGACTAATGGTTAAAAAGTATTTTATTATTTCTTTAAGTAAAATGTAACTTTTCCAATGCCACCTGCTTTTGCGGACCCTCCACGAGAAAAGCTATATAGTGCACCTTTAAATAACGCTTTTTACTAAACTAAACTCATACACCAGTGTAACACTGGAAACTGGAATGAAGTGTCTTGCTCATGGACACAATAAGAGTATTTCCTGTCAGTAGCAAGAACCGTCAATTATCAGGTTATTGGACAAACATCTGTACCTTTTTATAATGACATGATAGATTCCTTTGTGTTTGTAATACTAAAGGCTAGGTAATTCCAGTGTCTTGCTCAAGAACAGAAACAGAATATACTTCATCAATAGGAGGAATCAAAACCAGCATAACTGCAGTTAGTGTGCTCTACAAACTCATCTGTTATTGCCCCTAATAGTACATATATTTTTACCTCTGGTGAAAGGTGGGTCCACAGTGCTGCTCACATCTGACTCACTCACATCAAAAGTCACAGTTCTTTCAGGTATTCGAGAAGTATTTTCAAACAAAGGCTGTAGAAAAAAAACAAGTTCAGTTTGACAGACTAACATCCTTGTCAACAAGAATACAGGACAATTTGTAACAATTCAAACTAAAACTTTATCAAGTAGTGATGGCTGCACCTTATTGGTCAAGGAGCTCTCCAAATGCTGAAGTTTCTCCTCTTTTTCTCTGTAGAAGTGAGATACCTTTTTGAACTGTCTGTTGCAGATCACCCACAATTTGGGCTTCCTGAAAGAAAAAATAGGAGAGCATAAAAACAATTAATTCTTGTTTTAACAATATACCTATTGTTGTATGCTAATGAACCCTTTTATTGTTTGATTATGTTATTGTTGATTGTTTATTGATTATGTTATGAAGGGCAGGGCCTAGTATTACAAGCAGATACTTTTGATTCGATTTTTAATACACTGTTGTGAAGTAGAAAAATACTACTACAGCTACTGCAGCTGTTACCTTGGACTGCAGCATAGCTTCCTGGCTCTGCAGTCGGCCGGTCCGTAGCTCCAACTCATTTGACAAGTCTCTAAGTTCATTCTCCTAAAAATAAATGTAAATATAAGAATAGTTTTGTTCACTTGGTTAATTCACACAACATATTCATTAATAAAAATATCTTTCTGCTGGTGTTACCTTGCGTGCGTTTTCCAATTGTATTTTCTCGATCTGAACATTGTGCTGTATTCTGATTTTCTCCAGTTCAAGACCATGAGAGGCCTCCAACTGGTGTATTTCGTCTTTAAGTCTGATCATCATACGTTCCCTCTCAAGGCTCTCCTGAAAGAGGAGATTCGATTTTATGTCATACTTTCAGATGAGACAAAAAGGAGCTAGAATTCATGTGCAGACTACATGGTATTTTGGTATAGTATAAGCAATAGCCCAAAGGAAAAAAAAAAAACACAAATACATAACCAGATCATTTAAATCAGTGTCTTGCTGTGCACATTGTGGGTGTTGTATTGTGAGATTATAGACCTGATCACTTATAAATGATTCTAGTTCAGTATTTGTGGTTATCACATCATTTTCCCTTTAGCCAAATAATAAACCAAAGGAGACCCAGAAAAGTTAGATACAAAACATGGTTTTGGTGTAGATAAACACTGAAAATATTTGTACATGATTAGGCACAATCTAAATGTGCCTAATATGTCCATGCCAGTCTCCTTGCCTCTTGTCTGAGGGCGCTGAGTCTCTTCTCTTTGTTGCTCTGAAGTCTCTCTTTCTCCTCCTCTATCTCCTCTTCAGTCTCAACCTTCAGTCGCTCCAGGTCCTGCTTCTTTTTGACTTCAAGCTTCTTTCTCTCTGCCTCTTGTTCCTCTTCTAATTCAGTCTGGAGGTTTGCGAGGATGGCTTTTCTCTCCTGCCTGAATAGGATGACACAATGTACACCAAATTTTAATGCCCTTTCATTCAAACCACAATTATGACATACCACTATTATTATGTTATTATACAGGTCTTATAATCTCCCCTTTACTTTGTCTTTTCAGATTATAGAATATTATTATGTCATACTCATGGTGGACAAGAGACATTTTTCCCTATTTTTATTGTTATGATAATTTCATTAAAATATCCAAAAGATGAATTCACAAATGTTGAACCTGAACATGCTATATTACCAGATATATCAGCATTTTAACAAAATTTGTTTTACCTGCCCCCCACCTCTATTGCATGATATTGTGTTATAGAATGTTGTGATGAAATTCTTTTTATACTTTACTGAATAGCTTTAAATAAACTTTGATGCATCTCACAGTTATATTATCAATTGTGACAACTATAATCGGGATTAGTTATAAAATCAAATTATCAAATCAAATTCTGCTATTACATTTTTGCAAATATATTTTCAGTGAACCACAATCGGCTCAAACCTGATTTTTTGTTCCTGCTCCTCACAGTGGGCTCGTATAGATGCTCTGAGCTCCTCCAGAATTTTTTCAGACTCGTCTTTAAGTTTGGCTTCTTCCTCTTTTCTTTTCGTTACCAGTGACTCGCGTAGCATCCTGGGACGAAAAAAAATTTACATATGGTTTCACTTTCAAAATGGTTTGTTTTGACTGGTGGTGTGTGGGCAAGTGTGAACATACTCTATCACATCATAATTTAGACTAAACGTGATTAAACCCAGAACTAAACAGGACTAAACCCAGTCTATATCATGACTAAATATTTTGTTTAACTTAAATTTACATAAAGCTCCTCATTGAATAGTTATTGGATGGGCCTCTTGTATAATTAAAACAAATAATTTCAAGACAGAATTCCTTTATGGTTTTCATAGCTTTCACACTGGTGCAATATATACAATGTATAACAACAAAGCTACAAACTGCATACCTCAGTCTCTCCTCACTCTCAGCCTTTAGCCTCCTCTCCTCCTCTTCTTCTTGTCTCTTCAGTTCGTCTTGAAGTTTTTGAATCCTCTTTTGTTTTTCCTTCATCAGTTTCTCTCTCTCTCCTCCTGTTCCTCACGATCTGACGTGTGTTCATGTCTCTCAATAGGCTCATCTTTCTTCTCTCGGCTTTGAATGGACAGCTTTGTATCTTGACTTCGTCCTGGGCGGCCCCTTGAAGTTTCAGGTCTCTTAAACCCAATGGAAGACCCCAAATCAGTGTTTTTGGGGAGGAGGTGGTCTTTTGTGTCTGAATGAGAGGAGTCTGAAAATGTAGGAGAAGGACTCGATTGATGCAGCTTCAGACGATCCACTCTGGGAGCAGGTGCCTCCTTCAGCTTTGGCCTAACAAAATACCCAAAATTTACTATGAAATGCAAAAAAAATTAATAAATAAAGAGTATTATAATATAATATAAAATATTAGGCTTACCTGGTTTCAGCAGCCTTTTTCTCTAATGATGGACTAATTGAGCTCAAGAGGTCTTTAATATCTCCCAGATTCTTCAACAAGAAAATATATTTTCATGAATAAATATTTGAACATTGTAAAATACAAGAAATATATAATGTGTGAAGGAGGAAGCATCACTGTTTATACTGTCATCCTGCAAGGGTAGATGGTAATTTAATTTTAAAAAATATAATAATAATAATAATTATGATGATGAAGTTACTACAAACACACAACTGCACAAAATCAAAGCATCTACATGCAACACATCTCAGGCAAGAGAAGTGGCATGTAAAAAATGAGACGGCAAAGCAAGCTGTATAGAGGGAAAGCAATTCAACTAACAAAGCTAGCCAGTCTAAAGAATTCCTTATGATCTTACAAAAAGAAATAATAAGGTACTCCTCATGGCTTTGCACATTTTGGACACAAGTATTATTGTTCCTAGTCTTAAATTGCAAAAGTCCACTCCTAAAGGGCATTTTGCAAATAACGTTAACCACAAGAAGAATCATGACAGAATCATTAACAGGAGATGATTAACAGACAAAAGACAACACATATATTGACAATTAAGATTAAGATCGTACTACTCTAGTAATAAAAGAATGTTTCAATTATGTCTACTTCCTCCTCATGCACATAAAAAATCTACGAAGGGTAAAATCAATATGAAAGCTGTTTAATCTGAATTTATGAGATTCTGTAGAGGTTTTTCTTGCTCTGAATCTGCAATTAAGGCGTGACATTTATCAGCACTAGAACAGTTGATTGATAATAAATTCCTGTTAGCCCTCATAATCTATAATAATAATAATAATAATAATAATAATAGTAATAATTATAATCATAATTGTGTCTTACTTGATGTGAAGGTGGCTCTGGGCTAAGGTCTCTAGAAAGGGCAAGATTTTGTAACTCTGGCTCTGGAGCTTCTGCACTGCCTTCACTGTCCTTAAAACATAAAAATATGTTTAGATTATTAATTAAAAAAAGAAACATCATAAAAATCATAAAAAATAATTAGTACCTCATACTGTAGGCCACTTCCAAGATCATCTATATTCAAATGGAGGGTTTTCAGTGGACGGTCTGAATCATTTCGACTCTGTTGTAAAATGTTCAGGCTGATCAAACCTAATACACATTTTAAA